GTGCTCACTGTTTAGCAGCACAGGGGAGAGCGCGCACCAGGGTCGTGGGCTCGAAGCAGGTGCCAGGGCTTTGTCTCTCTCCCCACCCATCACCCTCTTCTTTGGGAGCCTGCACAGTGGCTCCCGGTGGGTTTCTGAGGTGGTAACAGCTCATGGGGGAAGGAGGCCCAGTCTTCCTCCCAAGGAGCTGCTGGTGGATTCCAACTGCCGACCCTGTGAATGGCAGCCCAACACTGGGCCACTGCGCCACCGAGGCACCTTTGGGAGCATGCTACCACCTGTCTCATGTTTGGCTCGGGAACCGTCCTCCGCCCTGACTGGGGTCTCCTGGGGAGGCCCTACCACTGGTCAGGGTGCATCAAGGACACTCCACAAACCCTTCGCCACCCCAGGCCTCTTTTCCACACTTCATCACGGGCTGCGCCTTGAAGTGACCCACCCACCCCACCTTGTTTTCTCAGCCGTGGACAGTGGGTGGGGAAAGTGATTGGCAGGTGAGCCAGGCTCTGGAGGCGGGGCTTGCTGAGGAAGGGCCTCCTGGTGGGTCTGCGCGGGGTACGTGCTGGCAGCAGCAGGAGACACCGGAGCTCTGAGCCATCTCAGCAGGGACATGAGGCAGGGAGCATGCTGTGCGGGAACCTGAGCCACAGGCAGGTGTGTGAGCCTGAGCGGTGCTGGCAGGGAGTCAGACCTCATCAGGCTTGAGGCCTGGGCTGTGGACAGCATCTCCCGAGGTCACCCACCACGACTCCTCTGTTTCCTAAGCTGGCATGGCAGGGGGACAGGCAGAGTTGGGGAGGTGTCTGGGCTCCTCTCTGTAGTCGGGGTTCAGGGCAGGCAGGTGGTCAGAGTCAGGCCTCATCAGGATTCCAGCTCACAGGTAACCGGGACTGTGCACCCGGGCATCCCACCGCACCTGCTGGGGAATGAAAGGTTCTCAGAGAACGCATGCCACGAGAGATGTTTAACCTACTTCTAAGACGGAATTATTTTCAAGGGCTTTAGCATGTCTGTTTTACTTGCCAATCTGCTAATTGTGTGCTGCTCTTATCTATTCATTAAAGTGGGTCCCTATCTCGATGGTTTCTATTGGAATCTGTGTTACTGAGTTCTCCAGTTCCCCACGCCCCGTTTGCTCCCCGCCTCATTCAGGATGGGAGGGCGGAGGGTGGCTGTGAAGAAGGTTCTGGGTCTCTTAGGGCTCTTTTTGCAGGTCCATAGTCATTTCCATGAGGGACCAGTGTCCACCCTCCATTTCAGCAGGGCACCCACCACTTTTGTTCAGCAAGTCCCACCAGCCAGAAATGCTCCCCATGTCAAAGTGCCCTCAGCAGGAAGCTTTCCAAGGACACTCTAGCCCCCTAGTAGACCCACTTAAGCCCAGAACAGAAAAAGCCTGGTAAGTACTGGGCTGAGGGCCGGCCAGTCTTCCTGGCTCTGCTGGAGAAGGGGAAAGGACATCTGGCCCCCAGGCTGTGTCTCCTGGTCAGTGTCCCAGGGAGTCTGGATCACTGCTCCCAGTGCGGGGCAGGTGGGTGCATGAGGATAAAAGACAGGCCGGAGTCGTGGGGACACTGCTGGCCCAGTCCGTGTTCTGGAAATTACTTGCAAGGGTTCCAGGTCTTTGGAAGCTAGGTGGGTAGGCAGCGTGGTGGAGTCCAGATTCACACCCGGTGCTGTCACTGGGGGAGCTGGGCTATCTTGGGCAGGACACGACGTCTCTCTGGGCCCCGTCTTCTCATCGGTGAAATGGGCATAGCTTCTCTGGAGGGAGTGATAATCGATGTGGTGTCCCTAACAGCACACAGCAGGCATTTCAGGAACAGTGGAGAAAGAGGAGCCAGGGTGGCACCATGGCTGAGCACTCGGTTGTCCACCAAGAGGTCCGTGGTTCGAACCCACCAGCAGCTCTGCTGGTGGCAGTTGTTTCCATAACGATTTCAACCTGGAAACCCTATGGGGCAGGCCTAGCCTGTCTTATTGGGATGCCGTGAGTCAAAGGTGATGTGATGGGTTTACATAACGTACGTAATGATTCACAAAGCAATAGCTGGTGCGTTGACTGACTCAGGATGACTCCACACGGACTTGTGCTCCATGAGATCTTCAAGGGCTGCTTGTTCAGAAGGCGATCACCAGACCTTTCTTCTGAGGGCCCTCGGGGTGGGGTAGGGTGGGGGCGACTTGAACCTCCAACCATTCGGCAACGCCTGAACTCTGGGCATCACTGAGATTCCTTCTGGAATTGATATATCCATCTCCCAACCTGTAGCCAAACCCACCGTCCCCTTTCCCAAGCACCCTACCACCATGGCCCCATTTGGTGCAAGTAGCCAGGAGGTGGGCCCAGGAAGCAGGGGTGGGTGTTAGCAGTGGCCTCACATAGCCTTATAGAGCCAGGGCAGGGGGGATCTCCCAGAACCGGACGGCTCCTTCCCGCCTGGAGCTCACTGGCTCTGGGACTTAGTTTCTTCCTCTGTGGGAAGTCCCACGTGGACAATTCGGCAGATCTTCTTCCCAAGACTTTGTAACTATGAGACTAAGGTCTAAAGGAGCCCAGGTGGAGTGGAGTATGCATCAAGCTGCTAACTGCCAAGGCCAGCAGTTCAAAACCACCCACCACTCCAGGGAAGATGAGGCTCTCTACTCCTGTGAAGTGTTACAGCCTCAGAAACCCACAGGGCAGTTCTGTTCTGTCCTATAGGGTCACTGTGAGTCAGAATCAATTCGATGACAGTGTCTCTCTCTATATATATATAGATAGATAGATAGATAGATAGATAGATATACACTATGTCTAAAAGGAGCTCTGGCAGCCTAATGGGTTGTGTTGGACTGCTAACTGCAAGGTCCCTGGTTTGAATCCACCAGCCATTCTGTGGGAGAATGTTGAGGCCGTCTGTAAAGACTGACAGCCTTGGGAACCCTATCGGCACATCTCTGTCCTATGGGATCACTGAAATGGCCTGGGAAGCAGTGGGTGGTGGGTGTTATCGGTCTACAATCGTGGTGTTATCTCAGGGGGGCCTGGATGTCCTCCTCAGATCCCAGGGTGCTACTTCCTGGGTGTGGGTGAGGGGGTCTGTCTCTACCTGAGAGCTCCTGAAGGAGGGTCCTGTTGGTGACAGGGCTCAGCGATCGGTGTCTGCGAGTTTCCAGAGCTGATGGAGGGACTTGGGGCCTCTCTGATCACAGGCCTGGGCCAGAGAGAGCTAGCTGTAGCCCACCCATCTTGTACCCTGGTAGCTACACCCCTTAGCTCTTTAGGATTCCAACCTCACCTCAGGATGGGGAGAGCTCCCCCCACTGCAGAACCCACACCTGAAGCCCCCCTGTTTCTGCCCTGAGGGTGTACCCCTGGTACACTCACTCCAGGGTCCTCACAGCTAAGGTGGGTGGTCCCTCCTCTAGCCCCTCGGGCAGGGGCAGTGGGTATGCCAGGCCTCCTGGGTCCCACTTGAGGAGCAGAGTCCCTGATGAGGGCCTGGTGGGCTGTAACTCCGCTGTGATGGGAATGTATGGCAAGGAGACCTCCGAGGGGCTATGTGTTCCATGCCTCTGCCACCAGGTCCCTGGTCAGAGGGCCAGCATCTCCTGACCTCGGGCAGCGTGTGTGCCCCAGGGGTGGTTCCCACTTGGATGGGAGGGGCCCCTTTCTCATCCCACTCAGGGTCCCTGCCCTGGGGATCCCCAGAAAACTGGGTTGGAGGGGCCACATCAGCGACCTGGTGACCAACTCTGTCTACTATCTTTAAGCTTGTACCTCCACACTCACTTCCCCATCTGCTTGGAGTCCCACCACAGCCTGGGAGGGAGGTGAAAACTAGGGGCCCAATTCACAAATGAGGTCAACAAGGCTCAACGAGTGAACCGGCTTCCCATGATCACACAGCCAGCATGGAGCTGAGCCAGCTAGGACTTGCTTCCTGGCACCCAGGGAACGGCATGCTTCCAGGAGGCAAGAAGGCCCAAGCTCTGTGACCTTGCCCCAGCTACTTGACTTCTCTGAACCTCTGTTTTCTCGCTTGAAGAATGGGGAGACGGGGAGTCCTATCTATCTTGGCAGGGCTATTGTGCAGCACTGTAGAGAAAAGGTAATGTGCTGCTAAGAAAACATTGACCGGTCAAAGTCATCAGCCCCTCCAAGGGCAAAAAAGCCTGGGGGATCTGCTCTGGTTAGAGACTGACAGCCTAGGACACCACCCCCCTACCCCGCCCCCGGGGCAGTTCTGTGGTTTTGTCCCACAGGGTTCCGGTGAGTCAGGGTGGACTTGACAGCACAGAGAACCGCACAAAGGATTCTCTTGAACATGACTCATCACCGTACTGACAGGGGCACCACAGGGAGATCCACACACTGCCCCCAAAGCAGGTCATGTTCCAGATGGAGACCTGGGGCGCTCAGGCTCCTACCTGGTCTCCGTTGGTGTTAAGACCTGCTCAGATGGGCGCAGGGTGCAGGGGCGGAGAAGGGGCCACCTGCTTTCTCACGTCAATCCCAGGTCAGCCCAGGGGCCTGCTGCTGCAACTGCCCGAGTCTCCCATCCCTAGAGGAACGTGGACCAGGCTGAGCCCAGGAGCTGGGCGGAATCAAGGTGGCCCATTCGGACGGAGTCTCCAGGGCCTTGCCCTTCCTGTATCCCAGGCAGCCCTGCGGTGGTGGGCTGGGTGCATGTACATGTGGCCGTGGGCCCAGAGCTTGGCCCTGCAGCCTCTTCTAGTCCACGCCCACTGGCCTCACGACTAGCACCCCCTGGTCCCCTCTGGGACCCGGACTGAGCCAACAGCCTGGGAGAGGCCTCCCATAATTGCCCCAGGACCCAATGTACTCCCTCCCCCACCCTATCTTGTCACCCCTCTTTCACCATGCCCCTCAGGGGCCCTCCATCCTCGGGACCCAGGAGCCGAGTGTACATCACGGGTGTCCGTGCAGAGCTCCAGTGCAGCCCTGGGGTCTGCAGGGCCAGAGGGTTAGCATTTTGGAATTTTATTATGACTGAGTTTGTTTAAATATATATATGTATCTATTTATAGCTCTATGCGCCCCACCCCAGCCCTCCCGGCCCCTAGTTCTTGGCCCCGGCTTTCTGCCTGGTGTAGGGCAGCACTGTCTGTGTGCTCTTGTCCGACACTGTCTGGGTGCTGCTGTTCCTTGTGACCCGCCGGGTCGGCTCGGGGGCCAAGGCTGGGCCTGAGTGGTGGTGGCCTGACAGTGGCGAGCGCCTCAGCTTGTGGGGGGCTGGAGAGGGCTTGAGGGGACTCACATGGGGCTCTGTACGGGGAGGCTCAGGAGGCAGGCCACCCTCCTCCTCCTCCTCGGCACCCCCTTCCTCATCATCACAGCACAGTGCGTGGTAGAGCACTTTGTCACTGAACCGCACCCTCTCCCGAGTGCCCAGGGTCCGCTGGGGCAGCTGGCCTTTGGGGAGGCCGGCGCTGAAGGCCTCCTCGCTGGAGGAGTCAGGGGTCTCCACCCGAGGCCCATTGGGGATGGGCAGGCCGCCGTTCATGAGCCGGTAGTCGGGGCCGGCGCCTGTCTGGGCCGGCTCAGGGCCGTCCACAGAGTCTGAGGGTGTGGACGCATCCAGGAAGGAGCAGAACTCCCAGCTGTCCGAGAGGATGTCGGCTGTCATGAAGTCCAGGTGGCCCAGGTCGAAGGGGCCGCCCACGCCCGCCTTGTCGCTGCTGGAAGTGCTGCTCACAGTGGCTGTGGTCCAGTCATCCGGCTCCAGCTCAAAGTCAAAGTCGGAGGTCAGCTTGTCGATCTGGCTCACCACCTGGCCAAGGAAGGGGAGAGGAGATGAGAGGGGTCAGCATGGGTCAGAACCCCCGAGGGGCAAGAGCACTTCTCCCACCCACTTCCCACCTTGGCAGGCCAATTCGAGAGCCCACAGGGTGGTGATGCCACTTGCCCCACGAGTGTTTGCCCCAAGGAGGGCCCAGGTTGGGCCAGGCTGAGTAGTGCTGATTCCAGCTGTGCCCGGCGGCCTGTTTGTTTCTCCCCAGTCTTGCGGAGGCCTGGGGTGGGGGGTGGCTGCGTCCCAGCCCTGAGCCCCAGCACTTTACATATACCCCTCCCTGAAAGGCGGACGCTGTCCTGGAGGGCAGCCCTGGCAACCAAGTCTTGATCTACTTTGGGTTGAGAGGGGGCCATTGAAGAGGGGCCGAGGAACCCCTAAGTGAGGCTCACTCAGCAAGGCAGGAAGCAGCCCACCCACTCTCAGAGAGGAAAAGCTATGAGGAGTCCCCAAGAAAGGCCCTTCCTGAGCTTCTAAAGCAGCAGGCTAACGGCTGTCTCCTGGGTCTCCCACAGCCTATCGGGACAAGAAGACAAGGTGGGTGGCACTAGTGAGGTTAGCCTCCTCCCTTCCCAGCCCACTGCCAGCCAGACAGACAGACAGAAAGACAGACAGACAGACAGAAAGACAGACACAGAGTCACCCTGGCTTGTTTGGGGAAGGGGAAGAGCAAGCACTGTGGGGTACATAATGAAGATCCCATCCATCCTGGGCCCTGAGCTGGTCGTTACATGGTTTCAGGAGGCTGCTCAGCTGTGAGGTCACTGGGTCCTGCGTGCAAACCCCTCTTACAATGAGGAAGGTGGGCCTGCCTTGGCACACTCCCTAGCCTGGTCCCTGTCAACACAGCATCAGAAAGGAAGATGGGAGGGACGAAGGAGAGGGAGACCCAGTCAGAGATGCGGGGAGGGCAGACCTAGGTTGAAAACAAACCAGAGCACCAGCAAACTGCAGGGACCCAGAGAGCCAGGGCGCCATGGGCCCGAAGACAGAGAGATGCACAGGGGAGCCCCCCCTCCAGAGAGCAGGAGCTCTGCAGTCTCCAGGGCTCCTTACCTGGGTCAGAGCAGTCAATTAATTAATGAACTAATCAATGCCTTGACTCAGCAAACTGACTGAGGGCTACTGCTGTCCAGGGATTGCCCCGGGGTTCCACAAGGAGCAAGGGGGGGTTACCATTCCCCAGTGAAGGCACAAACTAGGGCAGAAGTCCTGGGGCTCACAGGGCAGATTAATCGGTCAGGAGGCAGATGGCCCAGCGCATAAGAACGCAGCCAGCGTGCCTCACTAGGTCTTGTTTCTCAATCTGTAAACGGGTGCAGAGGCGGACAGTTGATTTCCCAGGTCTCTCTCATCTCTGAGCACCTAGGACTCTGTGCTTTTAAGTGGGACTGGAGAACTTGCTTCACCATGGACCCAGTCCTAGAGTTGAGGGCACCTAGCTGAGGTCAGGATACCCGGCTTCCAGGCTTAGCTCTGTGTGGCTGTGGGCCAGTTGCATAAGCTCATCCACCACCCCAGGGGTGGTGCGATCCCAGCGGGCCAACCTCATGGCATTACATGAGGAACACTGGGAAAGAAGGGGCAGTTGAAGGGCCCGTGGACGGTCGTCTGTGGTGAAAGGAATGGCACCCCTCCCCCACATCCTGGAGACCTCTTGGGGTGCAGGCTTTCATCCCCTTCTACAAGGCCGGCCAGTTCTCCTCGATGACTTCATAGAGGTCCAGTGAGGAGTCTGGGGTGCTGGTCACCAGGGAGCTGAGACCTTGCCCTGAAGCTCCCCTTCAGAACTGCACAGGGCTGGGACATGCTGCTGGGATTCTGGGCATGAGCAGGCCCCTGCCCTCCAATCAGCTTTCAACTTTGCATAGTTGCTCCTCCCAGGAGGCTCCACCCACTCCCAGAAGCTCTCACAAACCCCATCTCCACCTGAGGCCTGGCAGGAGCTTTGGCCTAGGATTAAACCAAGCCGGCGGCCATTGCGCTGACCCCGAGTCACGGCCACTCTGCATGCATCTGGGTAGAATTGGGTGCCATGGGCTCGCTATTTCCCTCGGAGCAGTTTATTTTGAACGAATTCCCGATTCTTGGAAAGCAGCAATGACAAGCACAGGGAGGGCCTGTGGGACCTGAACCCCGCTCCCTCAGTGGGCACATTTGGCTATGTAGCCTGAAGGATGCACAAACCAGGCAGTGGACATTGGTGGCAGGCTGTAGAGCGTACGTGTGTGTTGTTGTTCGGGGCCATGGCGGCGATCCTGATGGTGACCCTGTGTGTGGTATATGCAGGGTAGAACTGCTCTGTAGGATTTTCAAGGCTGGGACCTTTCAGAAGCAGATCAATAGATCTATCTGCTGGCTCCTTAGAATTTTTGATGACTGTTATCTTGGGAAATAGGTCACCAGGCACGTCTTCCAAGGTGCCTCTGGGAGGACCTGACCCACGAACCTTCAGGTTAGCAGTCGAGCACTTAGCCGCTGGCATCAGCAGGGTGAGGGCCCTCCTGCGTCAGCTCACATCGCTCCCTCCTCAGGGCTGTGGATTCGCCGGGGCTTGAGAAGGTCCACAGCTAATAAGCTCCCACGTGAGACAGCTGCTGGTCCAGCGACTAGACTAGGATGCTGGGAATTTCAACCAGTCAAGATATAGCAGGTCAGTGCTCTGGGTTATGAGTTGGGCTGCAATCTGCAATCTGCACGGGTCACTGTTCGAAACCACCAGCTGCTCCTCGGGAGAAAGACAAGGTTTTCTACTCCTGCAAACAGTCTCAGAAACTCACCAGGGAAGTTCTACCCTGTCCTATAGGGTTGCTGTGAGTTGATGGCAGTGAGTAATCAAGGGGTCCCTGAGGGGAAGCACACGGTTAACACACACTCGGCTGACAATCAGACGGTTAGCGGTTCATTCCACCCAGAGACACCGGACAAGAAAGGTTGAACGATCTACTTCCAAAAGGCCACTGTCATTGAAAGCCCTGTGGGGCAGAATTGTCTTGGACACACACGGAGTTGTCATCCGTGGAGGTGGACTTCATGTCACCAAGTTACTTAACCAGTTACAGGTGTGCTGCTGCCTGGGCGTGCAGGGCCAACAACAGGGCGACGTGGAGCTAAGTGACTGGGCGGATTGCACACGCCTTGCTGTGGCTCTGCTGGGCCCAGACCTCAGACCTCCTATTGCCCAGTGAAAACAGGTGCTTCGTGCTTCAGACCTGGGGCTGCAAAGATCCAGGCACACAGAGCAGGGGCCCCGCCAGGAGCCTTCAGACCTGGATATGCTCCCTCAAGTTAACAGGCCCCAGCCTGTCTCCTCTTGGCGGCTCCCTTCCCCAAGTCTGCTTCCTTCCGCGTGAAATGGGGTGACACTCTCTCCTCAGGCTTTCACAGGTTTGTCTGAAACTGCAGAGCTGCCCCAACTAAGTGCTTCATGATCTGGGCACTAGAACCAGACCTAGAGTCCTAACCCTGGCCCACCCCTGAGTGCTGTGGGCCTTGGCCAGCGTACTTGGCCTGTCTGGGCCTTTGCGAAAGGAGAATTCTAGCAGTGTGGCCGTCCTTGGTAGACCTGCCTGGAGGACTTACTGTCTGTAAAGTATATAGTCCCAAAAGCCACTGTGGTCCCCCCGTGGTATAAACTGGTGAACACTCAATAACCAGCCAAAAGGTTAATAGCTCGGACCCACCCAGACAAGCGTGGCCGATCTGCTTCCAGGAGGCCCAGCCTTGAGAAGCCTGTGTCGCAGTCTGGCTCTGTACACACATGGGGTTCCCTGAGCTGGAGCCAGGCCCAAGAGAGGGGGACAGCTTTTCACCAAAGTGCTAAGAACTCTGGTAGAAAAATATCCAGGGCCTATGGCAGCATAAGTGTGTACTACTGGCCTTTCCAAGGGAGCCCCGGTGGCTTGTGGGGCAAGGTACTGGGTCGCTAACCGAAAAGTCAAGCAGTTCGAAACCACCAGCTGCTCCCCAGGAGGAAGACACGGCTTTCTAGTCCCGTCACAAGGTAGTCTGTGAAACCCACAGCGGCACTTCTACTCTGTCCTACAGGGTTCCTATGAGCCAGAATTGACTCAATGGCAGTGGGTTTGGTTGGGGTTTTTTTTTATTGGGTCTTTCAAACCCCAGCACCAGGGTTTCACTGCCTTTGCTAAAGAAGGGGATCTCCAGACAGAAGAGATTTTAAACAGAAAGCCCCAGGGCTTTGAGACTCAAAGGTAAGCCAGGCTCAGTAGAACCCGTCCCACCCATTTGATAAAGCCACAAGTGGGGCTCAGTAAGGGTTGTGCTGTGTCTAAGGATTCAGAGCTCGTATGTGGGGCCCTGGGTCTGTCCGAAAGTCCTCATCTCTCCCTAGGACCTAGCTCCGTGGATTCAGGGAAGAGGGCAGTCATGGAGGCCCACTGCTACCTGCCTCTCTGTGTTCGATGCCTTGAAATCCATGATTTCTCACCGGGATTTAACAATCATTTTGCCTACATGTAATTTGGGATTGTCTTGGAGTGCCGGGAAATAATTATATACACAGAAGGAAAGAGAAGGGGAGAGAGAGATGGGGAACGATAAAATCCCAGAACTATAGCACCTCCGAGTGGAAGGGTGCTGCCGACACTGCGGAACTCATCCACGCCATTGCTCTTGCGGATGGGGGAAACTGAGGCCCAGAGAGAGCAAGGGGCTGAGTGGAGGCCAGAAGACAGGGGTCCTGGCTCTTGAGCCTGGTCCTTTAAGATCAAGAATCACCTGCCTGGAGGGGGTAAGAGGGAGCCCAAGAGCTGAAAGGCAGTGGGGAGGGCTGTGACAGAACCCTCTGGGCTCCCAGAGCCTGGCCCGGGGGAGTCCCTGACCACTGACCTGGTCCCAGCCTTAGCCTTGCTCACCTGAACAACTATAGCTGCTGTCTCTCTCTCTCTCTAGGGGACTTTCTAATCAGTTGATAGGACTGGGCCACCCCTCTGGTTCCAGCCCTTCCTTGAACCCCAAACCCCTTTGATTCCCCAAACCAACCCAACCACAAACCTACCCACACAAGGCCTTCCTCTGCAGCTGGGAGCTTCCTTGCTGCCCGGCCGGCCTCTGTAACCCCCCCCCCCCACCCCCATACAGTCCCTGCTCACTCTGCTTCCCAGCCTCCCCTGGAGGGCCTGCCTTCCTTGGCAATTCATCCAATCACCTCAGAGAAGCCTTCCCTCACTTTCTCTGTCAGAGCACCCTGGCTGCTCTGTTGAGAGAGACCTCCCTGCTGCCCTTCTAGATGCATATGTATAAGGGTCAAGAGCTCTTTATCATGGGTGGCGGCAGTCTGAGCCCACCCTCAAAGGAGGCCCTGGTGCACTGTGGGTTACTCAGTCGTCCCCACGGGCAGACGGCAAGACGGCCTGCTTCCGTCGAGATGCACAGCCCCAGAAACTCGAGGGAGCACTTCTACTCTGTCCTGTCGCGTCCAAGTCCGGGACTCAGTGGCACCGAAGGACCACAGCATGTGGGCTGCTGTCTCCGCACTAGCTAAGCCCCAGCCTGGTCCAGGGCCGGGGAACGCTGTGTCAATGCAGCTGCAGGATGGAAGGAGGCATTGAGCTAGAGAGATTCATTAAAAACTGCTGGGCTTCTCTCCGGGACCGCCAGTCCTGGGCATGCCAATATTGCCCAGTGCCTCCCCTCCCTGCAGCCCTGGCTAAGTCCCCTTTGCAGGAAAGCACTGCTCTATTCCTCAAAGGCTCAAGAGCAGTGGTTCTCAATCTTCCTAATGCCTCGACCCTTCAATACAGTTCCTCATGTGGTGGTGACCCCCAAATCATAAAATTATTCTCGTTGCTACTTCATCACTGTCATTTTGCTACTGTTATGAATCAGGCGACCCCTGTGAAAGGGTCAGTTGACCCCCCAAAGGGGTCTCGACCCACAGGTTGTTCTCGAGGTAGGTCTGGGGGCCGTGGAGTCCCAGAACCAGCCTCCTCTACCCTGTGCTCACCTCTGGCCTCCTCACCTCGCCCCGACAAGCAGCTCGGCCCTGCTCCCCAGGCAGCAGGTTACATAACTGGGGATCCTGCATTATTTATGACCACTGATTATTTTTTAATTCTGTGATTACGTTATTTATTATCGTCCAGGGGGTGGTGAGGGTGGGATGGAGCTGGAGAGGGGCGGGTGAGTGGTAGGTGATTCATCCTGTCACTTGGCCTAATTGGCCAGGGAGCAGCGGGGACCCGGCCCAGAGGAGGCGAGGGAGAGGGGAGGCTCGGAGGGCGGAGGGCGAGAGAGAAATAATAAGAACAAAATCCACGCGAGCCTTGCTGAGCTGCGGGCGTGATGGAGCTGACCCACTTTGGCACAGGCTCCAGGGGCCCCACCCTCCCTGGTGCCAGCTGCTGCCTGGCCCGGCCACATTCATTTCACGCCCGCCCTGCCTGCGGCAGCCCCTCACTGAACGGCCTGCAAGATGGGGCAGTCGG